TACCTGTTTGTTTGTAGCCATCTCAACTACAGGCACAGCATTATTATTTTATACGTAGTTAGGATCTACACTGGCAATGACATTTAAAAAGTTTTGTGACCCTACCACTATGCACGTCCTGAGCTGATATGGATTTTAAAAAGCCTTCATCAGCCCCTGCACTGATTCTGCATATCAGCTACATAATCCTTGTTTGTTGTAACTCAGTGCGCTCTGGGTGAAACCGCCGCCAAACACACCCCACACTGCCCTGTTAAAACACTGGAATGTTCTCCTGATGCACTGCAAGTGAACGACAGTTGAGCGACACGAACAAAAAAATAACAGCCAGCAGTTTAAATTAAACATATCCAAACTGACAGCGTGTCACTGAGCAATGTGAAAAGAGCAAGGTTGGGTTAAACATTATTTTGCTTTGCCCCAATTTCACTAATATTTGGCACCACATCCCTAACTTGCTGCTGTTGGTTGAAAACTGTGTTTGAACTTCCACATTTAGTTTGTACAAGCTGGAGATAAGGAGAGGAGACTGTCCAAATCCTGTCCTACATAAGACACACATTCCTTTGTTCACACATATAAAAAAAGATACTACTAGACACTATACAAAACACTGAAGGAAAGAATTTTCTTTATCAGTCATGGCCAACTTGAGGCTATGTGTGCATTGTGCAGCTTAATTTTATAGGACAACATACACTTCATTGCCAATTTATTAGGAACATTTAGTTAATACTAATGCAGTCTAACACAACAGTCCTGCACTAAATCAAACCACCATAAAAGGTTATAATGTTAGTTTTCTGTTGAAACTGTGTTGTTATAACTCTATTGATTATTTTGAAGGATCTAGTTTGTAATGCTTTTTAACTGTTTTACGTGAGTATTATTTTGGACTTGGTATTTTGACATAGAAAAAAATTAATACACGGGATTAGAGGAAATTATCAACCAAGCAATCAAAAAACAACAACCCATGAATATTTAATTGAGTTTTCCTCAACACAGTGTTGCACTATAAAAAACAGGGCCTTGACACATTCTGGGTGTGTCCTGTGCCTATATTGACATGGGGTGCACACAAACACACATTCAAAAACCGGACTGCTGGTGGTGTAAACAAAGCTTTCATTGCTCATTCTGTTGGCCTTTGGTTCCCCGCCCTCCTGCTCCCCTGCTGCCCATCCCCCTTCAGGGAGGCTCATCCCTGCATTCTCTAGCGAGCCAGGACATCTTTGACAGTCAGGAAAACAGGAAGATTAGACAAGCCATAACATTCCAAGCTTGGTGCAATCACTTCTGGGAAGAACTGTCAGATGTTACTGATGCATTCATATAAAGTAGGGAAGAAGAAAAGATAATGTGTTGGAAAAGATTAAAAAGAGATACAGATGGAGGTTAACACAAAGGGTTTATGAATTGAGATGCATTATTACCTACATGAGGAACAAGAGGAGTATTGAGACGGCAAGTTATATCATGAGAATGGGGAAATAAGATTTTCAGTGGAGTGAGGATAATGGAGAGGACTGCAGAGAACAACAGTGGGAGCTATCTATCTAATGTAATAATCTAACACTGTAAATATTTAGCAGTTCTGAGAAATAGAATACTATGTTCCAATTCTCAGATCATCCACTTTTTAATCCGCTGCTTATTTCTTAAATCCTTTTTAAAGACCTTTAAAGACGGACCATACCAGTTAGGTGTAAGCAAAATATACGATGTTGTGGTTGCCAAGATATAAAGTTGGCTGTGCAGTCTCTTCTGGTATCTCTTTAAAGGCCCCGACACACCAAGCTGATGGTCGGCCGTTGGTCAGTGTTGGGCTGTCAGTGAGTGTTTGTCGCCCTAGTCGACACCACACAATTGCCCTTTGCCAGCTCCTTCTGCCTTCTTTTGGCCGATTCAGCATTTAAATTCGGCGTCAGGTAAGGCGCCTGTCAGTTAATGAAATAACTCTGATTGGCAGTTCAGCTGAGCTCACGAGAAGAGAAACGGAAGTAAGGAAAGTAAAAAAAAACAGCTGAAGTCAAGAGGGAGTGAGATCAAAACAAACTTGTTGCATATGTATGATTATTTTTCTATAGCCACTGAGCTCTATAACAGAAATGTTTTGTGATGGTTTCTGGTATTGTTCACTGGCACACGTCTTTTCAACATCATGTTGTGTTCTTAATGTGCTAACCTGCTAGCTAACACCAAAATGGTCTTCCAGTTTCTGCTTTTGAATGACAAATACAGACTACTGCTGTCTGCTGGTGGGGAGAGATATTTCCTCTCAGGCAGGCGCAGAATGCTTGTGCTAGCTGGCCATCGGCTGTCGTCTTTGCGGTGTGTTCATGTGTAACTTTCTGGCTGAGACACGCGTGACATGAGGGGATTCAGGAGTTGGCTTTTGTTGCCACTAGTTCTTTGAGGTCGGTTTGGTGTGTCTGGGCCTTAAAGTTTCTCACAGATAGTGACTGATGGAAATTAGCTCTGTACTGAGCTTGTGGTCAGAAATATCACGGTGAGCAACCTTTTTGTATCATAGAATTATTTGTGCATGCATAGTTATTACTAGGGATGGGTCACGATTTTCGATTTTTGAATAGTCGTTTTATTTTTGAAAAATCAATTTTTTAATGCGACTATTACTATTCGCTGTCTTATTCCCCCCCCTTTATTTGACATGCAATTCAGCTCCTAACCGCACGAGGGCAGTCTAGGATTGCTACAGCAGTGTGAGATGCTCTTCTACAAACAGGAGAAACATGCAGAGACTACTACTCCGAGAGGAATGTCCGCAGTCATTCGGGCTTTCATAGTCGAGCGCACTTCTGCGTTGTAGTTTCCTGTAAAAATGACAGGGCTTGCGGAGGTCCGCGTTGAGTCCGCGCGGACCTCCGTGGAGTCCGTTCCGCCGGGGGGGGGATAGATTATTCAAAAAATTGTCGAATACTTGCCACAATTTTCGAATAGTGTTTTTGCTTGTGTTGCCCATCCCTAGTTATTACTGGTGTAAAACTCATACTGCTGTGTCTATTAAAAATCATGGTTGACGTTTTTTGACAACCTTTACTTTAAAGGATAATCCATCTCATGCTTGTTTCGAGCAATCGGAACCCTCTGGGGCTGAAAAACGAAGCCATGCAAAGTGCCAAAACTGCAGTTCCTTAAATGGCCACGTGAGGCTACCTCAAAAAGCAAGTCAATCCCCATAGACGCCCATGTTAAATGTTGACAAGCTGGTACAAACAAACAGTTCTGGTCTCTGAAGCTTATTTAAACATTCCTGACAGCTGTACTAGGGTGAATGTTTAAATAGCCCACACCTTTATTGTTATGGGCCTAAAGTTATACATAGTTAAGGGTGTGGCCACTTCTGAGTGACAGGTGGGTGTGGTATGGTTTAACCCCAGATTCACAGAGTATAGGCAGAGTAATTTGATGAATAATAGAACCCCTGACAGACAATGGAAATCCATCTGAATTTACAGGGTGTCACAGCTGGAGTGTGCAGAGTATTGTTACTCTTCACAAAACATTATTGTTTATCATTGTGGGTGCTCACATCATTATCTTATAGTTATCATTGCTGGTGTGGATGACTTCAGATTTCACAATCAATGTTAACTTCAATATTTGAATTTAAAAAAAAAAAAAAAATTGAGGGGGCATTTTTGCCTTCAATTGATAGGAAAGCTAAGCGTGAAGGGGGGAGAGAGGGAGGGAATGGCATGCAGCAAAGGGCCACAGGCTGGAGTCGTATATGGGCCGCTGCGGCAACAGCCTTGTACACGGGGCGCCTGCTCTATCCACTTAGCCACCAACACCCCTCCATGCAAACTTTTGACCGCTCTTGCATCACAATCCACTTCTCCACTGCACACCCAAATGCACCATTTCTTCCAAAATCATTTGTTTGCCAGAGTATTGCTTCATTCACTGCTTCCGTTTGTTGCTTGTTCATGAGCCCATCACAAGTGTGAGAGACTTGTGAAAACACTAATCCCATACACTGAAACTGTTATAGGATGAGTTATAGTAACTGTTGGAGTGGTCATACCATTGACTAACATCCAAGTTCACATACACAACCCCATAAAAAGCAGATTTTAATACTACACAAACTTAATAAAACATGACAACTTGTTTTTCAAAAAGCAAAAGACAAAAGACTACCCGAGTAAACAACACATAAACTGCATGACCAGTAAAGCTTAGCAGCACAGGGAAACGGGGTTCTTCATGTTCTACAGAAAGGGGAACAAAACCACATGATCAGTCATGCAAAAGATACTGAGACGTTTGTCAGCCCCAGGCTCCAACGGACCTTATTACTCACAAGAGAAAAATGCACTGAAAATTTCTGACAAACAATAACAATTCTGAAACTTTTCTATCTAGCTTAAGATTAATTTATAGTCCTTTAGGCCTACTGAAACCCAAAACTACATTGGGGGAACTGACTGTGGTGTACCCCAGGGTTCAATATTAGGTCCTAAACCTTTTTAGTCTGTAGATGCTCCCCACAGTAGGAAAAATCCTGTGCTTGGTCGATTGTTGAGCAGGATAGTCTCTCTTCATTTGCGTACAACTTGTTTACCACACAATCACAAAACATTTTGTACACTGTTCCATAGACGTGCTATAAAGTTGTTATAAATACTTGACTTGTTCTCTTGTTATTAAGGTTGGCTTGCATGTCCACACTTAGAGCTCATAAATGTACTCAAACATGTTTATCTTGTCTGCTGACGTACTGTATATCTTGCTAAAAGTTTTACTAGGATTAATTTTCAAACCATCCTGCTGGCCTTGAGATCAAACCAACAAAAAAAAGACAGATACTATGTTGTCAGTATGTATAGAGAGTCCCATATCCTAAGGTTATCAAGGCCACATAGCTGACATTTAGTCTACTGGTTAACAAAACAAAGAGGGGGAAAAATTTTTTACATTTTTTTATTTAGGCACATTATGTCAATGCCTGCTGAAAAAGCTGCTGCGCCTACCTGAAACCATCCCCGACTGTGACGATCTCCACTTCACTGTCAGTTGAAGTGACGTTGATCTCCTCACTTGCAGGGACAGCAGGAGCTGGAGCTGGAGTTGCCTCAATCACCACCACATCCTCATCGAGGGCACCTGAGCACACCAGTTGAATTTAGTATAGTACTGATATACACCATAAATCTGACAAAGGCAAAGAAACTACAATAACTACAATAAAATAAACAGAAAATTTTAACGTGTAGCCTGACTACTCTTCATTGCACTGACACTTTTTTTAAAACATTAATTTCAATATTATGATTCACAGCAATATGCTATAATTCATTCATCTTCTAACCGCTTCATCCTCTTGGGGGTCTCGGGGGGGGGCTGAAGCCTATCCCAGCTGACATCGGGCGAGAGGCAGGGTACACCCTGGACAGGCCGCCAGACTATCGCAGGGCTGACACATAGAGACAAACAACCATTCACACTCACATTCACACCTATGGACAATTTAGAGTCACCAATTAACCTAGTCCCCAATGTGCATGTCTTTGGACTGTGGAAGGAAGCCGGAGTGCCTGGAGAGAACCCACGCTGACACGGGGAGAACATGCAAACTCCTCACAGCCGGGATTGAACCGGCAACCCTCTTGCTGTGAGGCGACAGTGCTAACCACCACACCACCGTGCCGCCCTATAATTACTACAGCTATTCTTTTAAACAGTATTCATATTTTCAAATCAGATAGATGTTATCTATATTTCCAAATTAAACTAACCACATGCAATTAATGGAGATCCCTGTCAATACTTTATCTCGAGAGATCCTGCATGCGTATTAATGCTGCCCACATCTCACACAAGGAGCACCACTGTTAAAACAAGTCTAAGTGACAGCAAACTAATTTGAGACTAATTAATATATTTTTTAATGGAGCTGCTGCCAAGACCATGGGAGGCCAATAGGGGCATTCGCTTCTTAAGCACAGTGTGTTGTCTTTTCTTTTATAACTGAACACACAGCTTTATCTACAGGTTTATTTTAAGGCTTTCAGCCCAGGTATACATACATTATTTTAGTCCCCACCAGTGATGAAGATCATATACAGCATATATTTGCAAACAATATAAGTTTATCAGAGCTAACAGTCTCATGCCTGTTTCTAATTATTGTCACCATTTCTCAGTGTAAGTGAGAGTTGCTGACTCATGCATCTGGTCTATGAGTCAAAGTTATAAATTCTCTCCCACATTCTTTAGACTTCAATGTAAATCTTAAGTTAACCTTTCACGGCAGACAGTTTTCATCTTTATTGTTTTCGAACTAATGCATGTAAGGGCTGGGTATTGTTCAAGAAATTACAATACCAGTACCATTACGAGTGCCTTTAAAGCGATATCGATTCCGATACTTTTTTTCTTTTCTTTTTTCTTTTTTAAAGATTATTTTTATGGGCTTTTTGCCTTTATTGACACAACAGAGAGTGAAATGGGGAGACAGAGAGAGAGTGGGGACTGACATGCAGCAAAGGGCCGTGAGCTGGATTCGAACCCGCGGCTGCTGCAGCGAGGCGATGCCTCTGTACATGGGGTGCCGGCACTATCCACTATGCTACTGACGCCCCTTGATACTTTTTTTTCTACTTCATTCAATGACCATCATGTGACATCTGGTTACAAAATATAGTCATACTTAGGAAAGTTTTGGTGGCATCTCGTACATGGAACTGCCAACACCATCAAATACACCATGCTCAACTTCACCACACAACAGATTGTAGGGGTTGTACATCTGCTGCTGTGGTAGTGGGCTGATCACACAGCGCATTAAATCTTAGAACATCTGCAGTGATTGGCTGCAAGCAAAACCATAGAAACAGTCATTTATTTCTAGATCTGGATATGAAAATTATAGAGGTTTTAGTACTTTAATACTTTGTGAAATTTGATCAATGGCTGAAAATCTAATGCACAGACTATGAACGCTGGTTAACAGTTTTAAGAGGCAAAAATATTTAAGGGCACTGCTACATTTCTCGTGTGTTTACTGAGTTTTCATGCACATCTCTAAGTGCCATAAACTCCCCAGTGTGATTTCTATTCCTAATGTCTCCTGAGAACTGCTGCTTAGCACCCTCTGCAAGACTAGCTGCCTGGCACTCTGGCGAAGCCTTCATGAGGTGACACAAACAACAACACCCAACACTTTACTTACAACTTGCAGGGAGTTGTAACCAACCTGTGCATGATAGTTAGGTACAAAAAAACCTCCTTCTCCTAATACTATACCTGACACGACTACAGTATATAACAAACCCTGGAACAAACATGTCAAATCCCAAGTGATGATTTTCTTAAGTCAAGCAGCCACTTGATCAGTTGGCAGTAAGAGTACATGCAATATGCTTGAGGCTGAACAATCATCCTTTGAAACTGCTGATGATGATAACAATTCAGTGTAACCAATCATCAGATGTGTGCATAAAGGAATTTGTAGATTTTTATTGTATCTAAAATGACAACAATCCAGATGGGACCTGCATTTAAGGTGGACTTGGCTGAGATATTGTTTATTCACATTTAATATCTTCTGTTGTTCAGTTTAGAGGTGGGAATAAACTGTTCTTTGTCTACATCACGCACCTGCTCCAACTCTGGACATTTACAAAGGCAGGTTTCATCACTTGCCTCCATGCTTCCCATGCTGTAAACAAATGCCTTGTTTTCCCTGAGAGACCTGCTGTTTCCATGCAAAGCCAGTCACTATACAGTGACTGAGTTTTCTCCCACCTGCCTCCCACCATGGAGGCACAACAACTAACTTTCCATTCTCCCCTAGGGCCACAGCAGCCAGAATGTGCTGAGGCTAAATGGCTACACAAGGAAAAGAATGAAGCAAGGTACAGGTGTTTTTTTTTTTTTAAAGATAAACTGACTCCTGTTGTAAATGCTGAAAAATTTAAGATCAGAAAATAGCATGTGCCTTTCAGGTGCACAGACGATAGTGAGAACAAGCGCAGAAAGCTATGGTTTAGATTTAGGAGCTGTATAAACCTGTTGTTCCAACAGGTACAGAGGACTGCAGTTTTCATTACTGCCTGCCAGGTGTGGGGCCATGAAAAGCAGAGAGGGGAGTAGCTATTCCTTTATCAGTTGTGCCAAAGCCATTACAAAGACCATAGTCTTATGTATGTTGCTACATTTATCGTGAGAGCCAAAAGCTTTAGTACAATTTCTTACACTTTTCACCTTGTTTGTTTATGTGAAAGTGGGACACTACAACAGTAATATGCATCCATGTGCAGGGGAACAGCTGTTTGTAAGCATGTTGTCACCACAATCAAACACTACGCAAGGTGAGTCTTCCTTTACTTCCCCTTCTTTGGTTGAGAGCCAGAATGAAATCACCTGGCCCAGAATGAAAACCTGTAAATTCTTGATCCTGTTGCAGTAAATAGTCATTAATACCTTTTTCCCCCTCAAAAATCTGTCTGTATATGCGTCTTTTTTACTGTGGGAAAACCTGCTAAAAACAGGTGATACACTCCTTTCCCATTGCCAATAGAACATAGTGTTCACAGCTCTGCAGTAGACGAGTATGCCTTTCTGTTTGTTGTTTTTATCACATTTGATGTCACAAATGTGCCAGAAAACAGGTAACTAAACATAAGAAAGCAGCATGGAGGTCAGTGAAAGTGTTACAATGGTTACTTCTTTTTTAAATGATCAACCACTACATTAAAACCACTGACAGGTGAAGGGAGTGACATTGATCATCTAGTTACCAAACAATGTTCTGCTGGGAAATCATGGCTCCTGGCATTCATGTGGATGCCACTTGACACGCTCCACCCACCCAAACACCGTGAAAGTCCAAGCCCCTAACCCCCTCATTGCAATAGCACTCCCTAATGACAGGACAATGTGTTGTGCCAAACTGCAAAAACTGCATGGAAATGGGCCGAGGAATGTGAAAAAGAGCTCAAGGTGTCAACCTGACCCCCAAATTCCCTAGATCCCAACCTGATCAAGCATTCATGGGACATGCCGGTGCCAGTTTGCGGCTAGTCGACACCTTAAGGTCTTTGTCAGGTCCCTCATGATGGCAGTGCCATGAGGGGGTGTACTTGGTCTGTCACAGTGTTTGGGTGGCTGGAGCATGTCAAGTGGCTTCCACATGTATGCCAGAACACAATATTTCTCAGATGATCAATGTTATTCACTTCACCTGTCAGTGGTTTTAAAGTTGTGGCTGATTGGTGTATATCTGTTTCTATGCAGTCTTTCTTTCAAACTCAGTGTCAACTAATTTGGAATGATGTTTGAGCACTGCTTGGAAGGAGATGGTCAGAATTTGTGTCATTGCATTGTGTCTGAAAAGGGCCAGAAATTAGTGTCCACCTGAGTGTCATATTTCTATCTCCACTGACTGGAGCCAATCAAAGCCGATCAGAGCTGATAAATAACTGTGACTACTGCAGAGTCATTTGTCCTGGGAGTGAATGCCAATTGTGACCTTTCCCACTGAAGACAAAAGGTATTAGTGGGTATTTTGTCCAGTGGAAAAGCGGCTTTAGCGAGATCACTTAACATTATCACACTCCTGTTACAAAAAATACTTATTCTGATTGTGCAGTGAAGGGAACTGTACATTTAAAATTTTGATAAATGACAATGTTTGCCAATTAAGGTTATTTAAAGAAGTACAACACTAACAACTGTTTTGTGATTAAAAACCTCAGTCCAGCTCCTATTGCAGGTTGCACAACATGTTGACTAGCCGTTCTCTGGCACCAGACGTTTCTGTTTTTCTGTTCTGCTTTTCAGTGCATATTAATTCACAGTGCATCATTGTACTTCAATTAAAATGTTAATTCATGCTGGATTGTGCTTTTTTCTGCAGTGTTAGAGATCCTAGTGCCTGTGAGCTTTAGGAGACATAGTTTCCATTATAGTGTTACAACTATGATGTTACCCCTCTTTGCCTATCTTTTTAACAAACAGCACAAAAAAAGAAATGAATATGTCAACACTGTGGTGTATTATTCTGCCTGTTGATATTTACTAACCCCATGCTGTGTAGCAACAGTTTAATAAGGCCCTAAAATACTGTATAAGCCATCTAAACTTTCTTTTACAGTTTACCATAAGAAAGATATATAAAATATTTAACTATTCTAACACAAACTTTGACACCCCTAAAAATACAAACACATAATGACTGATCCTGACTACCCTCTGTGGTCCACTGTGTTATGCTGATCACACTGCAATCACGCAGTAATATCTATGTATGTATTCCCTGCTGCTTTGGACCATATGATATAGCCTACGCAAACATAACGTATGCTGCAAAGCAAGATATGTTAGATACAATAAAGATATTACAATACAACTGTAATGGAGCGGTGGTCTGTAATTACCTGTGGCTACAGTCGCACTGTTGGGCTGGCTGCTGGTGCTGCTAACATCTACATACAGCTCATCTTCGGCTTCGGTAGAAGAGGGGGAGGAAGAGTCACTGCTCAGCTCCTCGCTGGAACTACTGGTGCTATGAAGTAGAGCATACTTCCTACGTGCAATCACTTCACGTTTCTTCCTCTGCAGTAGTAGTCGCTCCTTTTGCTTCTGTGTCCGCTGACCCCCTCCAGGAGCTGTTTTCACAAAGCGTTTCCTATGAAGAGGCCGCCGGCTGCTCAGACACGGCCGCTTCAGCAGCACTGGCTCAGCCTCAGACCGCACCCACTTATGAGAGCGATTCCCCCGAGTTCGACCCAGAACAGGGCGCAGGCCGACTCCGGCGGCTCCTCCTGTTGTCAGGGCAGGAGCCTTGTGTTGGCCCCCTGTTGCTCCAGCTTCCCCCTCCTCCTCTGAGCTAAGAGTGTCCGAGTCCCCAAATCGCAGGCTAGAGGAAGGGGAGGAAGCACAGTCACTAAAAGAGGACTCGTGATTATGTTCATCCTCACTGGGGTGCTGTAAAAGTTCTACCCGGGCACGCTGAGTGGCCAGTGAACTCTCACTAATGTGGCCCTCCTTCAGCGAGCAGTCTGACGGCCCTGCCTGTTGGCCTTTTCTTTTTCTGCGCCCAGGAAGGGTCCGTTCTGAGTCTCTGTGTGTCCCTGTGTCCCTCAGGGTCCGATGCCTGGACTCACACAGGGTTTCAAATTCGCTCTTTCCAATCACCTCCATGTTGTTAGGGAAGCTCTTGGCTGCCTCCATGGGCTCTGGGTTCACCAGTGGCTCCTTCAGATGCTCCTGTCTGCTGGGGGCCTCAGATGGCACCTCACTCTTCATGGTGGCAGGTCCGTCCTCAAAGGGCAAACAGCAAATGCACTCGCATCAGTTCCTAGGCGTCTATCCGTTGCATCTCACAAAATCTGAAACAGAAGAAGAAGGGAAAAGCTTTACAGTTGCACAAGTCACTGCACTGCGTGAATATGAAATGAAAGATCATTATGTCAGTGACAAGATTAAGGTCTTTCAACAGCTCTGGAAAATCAAGACCAGTTTCAAAACATCACATCTAAATATAAGTCTGATCAATGCGCTAAAAGTTTTCTGTGTTCTCATTCATCCATGAAATGCAATGCTGAAATTAACTGTTAGGTAAATAAATAACGTTACCAATGACCAATTCAGATATCAGTGATAAAACAGGCAGCTTGTCGAGATCAACTTTGACTCCATATGTTAAATAATCAGACCAAATTTGTTTGATCAGAGGACAAAGCTAGTTAGCTGCTTCAGTATGTTACAATTATGAATAAATATTAAAATTATGGACTCTATACATCAAATCATCATGGACAACAGTTAAATGACCATTACTAAATGTAACTATCTCAGTCTCTGCTAAATTGGAGATAAAACTTGTTTGACAATTTTTTTTTTAACATATAGTATGCAGGATTTCCCCATAAAACAATGTTTGGACTCATGCAAGAGTAAGCCCTCTAAATTATCACTTATGATCCACTATTTTTCTGCAGAGACTCTGCCCTCTGCCAGTACTTTTCTATCTTCCTCTTGTTTTTTGTGTTTGTGGTTTTTATGGGCGTGTACCCCCACAGCACTCAAGTGATGTCGGGCCTCTATAAAAAGGTAGCGACCGTGAGCCAGACCATAAGCAGCAGGCATCCAAGAGACACAGCTCCGAAAAACATAAATATAGTGAGGCAAAATACAAACAAGAGTGAATCTGAGGTTGGCTTTTACTTTCACTTTCGCTGGCAAGCATGTTTACAAACAGTGGACAAATCTGCATAGTATACCTTTAAGAAAAGACAACATTTTTAAATGACTATAAATGATAATACCTATCCCTACCAATTACAAGTAAAATTAGGTGACAGGGGAATCTGAAAATAAATTAATAAATAAATACAGAGATAAGCAACTGCAAAAGCTACGAAAGAAATATAAAAAAGAATGTAAGGAGCATAGATACAATACATTAATAATGATAAATAATAAAATAAATAAAATTACAATTATTAAATTTTCATCCAGATCATTATAATTATATTTTTTCCTATGATGCAGATTATGTGATGATCATAGTTCTCTTTATGCTGCTGAATTGTTCAACATCAGCCGTTTAAAAAACAGCCTACAGCAGAGCATATCAGACTTGCTTTTAACTAAAATTTTCTTTCATATTATTTTCTTGCATGTCACGGGTCTAAAAACATAATTTTCCTAATGACAACAACAGTGTGTTGTCGTGTATTCATGGTGTTCAACATGGGGCAATGCGTTCATTCACTAACAGTCTTTCTGTTTTTTGGTACAAATAAAGACAGTGTGACCCAAAGCTGCCGATTAAAGGTAGAAAATAAATACCCAGAGGCTGAGTCAAAAGTCATGGCTGTGAGTCAATACTGACGTGCTTGCTTTATTGTTGATTCTTGGCAACGCATCAATCACACTAAATAAAGATGGGATTTTAATAAAGGGGATGTCCACCATGAAACTGATTCTCATGTTTATGTCATGAGTTTTGGGACAGTTATATCTATATTTATGTGCACCAGGAGGAAGGGACTCTTTAGGCATGTTACAATGGGAGAATTTTCACAGCAGTGTAAGGTCTCCCAGAGCAATGCCACATTCCAGCGTTGCTGAAATGTAGGCTACTTCGTAAATACAACAAAAGTCTGTGCCTCTGCTGAGCTTTATGCATATTTTCAGATGAGCACATGTCTCACCCTCTGCCAGCCAACAGTGGTGTTAGCACTGACAAAGATCACAATACTGGGGAACAGTATTCCCAGTAGCCCTAAGTGTCAATAAACCTGAAAAGCTCTTTTAATACAATGAATACATTCTGTATATTACTGATTGCTGCGTCTAAGAAAACTGTGATAGTTTACTGGTCTGTAGTCCTCTTCAGTTACACAGATATCCTGTTGTAAAGCACTTTCTTGCAATGTATCACTTATCTAATACTGATCCCCCAAAGTGTGATGCCATTGTTATCATAAGCAAGATTTTGCGATATTAGTGTGTAGAAAACAATTCCACTGTTTTAATAGAGTGAAATGCTTGTTTTTTCATGTTTAATATGTGGAGTGCCCGGATTGCCAAGGTGTATAATACACCAGGGATCTGTAATAGATCAGGCAACATAGCTAATACTAATCTATTACTGCCTCGATACTGATCCAGTGAATCAGATCCTAGTTTTGTATTTTAATCAAAAACACAAACAGGGTTCAAGTGGTTGAGAAGACTATATATATATACATATATGATTTTAAAAAATCCAAAGCAGAAACATAATATTTGATCGCTCTTACTGGCAGTGATCAAAATATGTAGGGCTATCTCTACACACACTCACAAATGGTGTTGCATATCTGCAGTGATGTCCGTGAATGAACTGCGTTTTAAAAATGTTAGGGACTGTGTGAAGAAAACTGCAGGCTTGTGCACTATATGCACGTGGTGATATCGCCCACAGCAACAAGACAACCACACTTCTTGATATGATGTAATCAGAAAACAAAATCATGGAGCTACTATTTCAGCAAGTGATTTAGGAACATATTGTACTGACCCTGTCTATGTGGCCATCTGGAAGCACAAGTGATGTAACACAACTCAAGAAAATAAAAAGCAATGCTTTGCTTGTACCATCCACATTGTTCGCTGAGACTACATCAAATGTGGATGTCTTGCATCTGTCAGCATCTTTATGTAATTTAATCTAAATCAAAATTCTTATACACAAAGTCTGACAAACGTGGTCAACATATAAACATCCAACTACTGTATTTAAGACACTGTAAGATATTTTTATTCCAATGTGGGTCATTAGCAAATTTAAGACTCATGTAGACACAGCTACAAAACTTTGAGAGTTCACTCCCTCTCTCTGGCTCAGTCTCAGAAAGAAAATGCAACACATCAACATTCTTGGTCGTGTTTGCTGCAGGGTATTTGTATTAGACTGCATTAATTGTAAAGGTGTATGTGATGTTCCCCTGTTTAGTACTGCATAAAATACTTAAAGACTGAAAACGCACATAGCAATGTCATCTCATTATATATTCACAACTCATACTAACATGCTGGTTGTCCTGACAACACGCTGGCCTGAAGCTGCAACTTTTATGAAAGAGGGCTGATGTTGCTAAACCCAAGTCACATCTGCTTTTATATACTACTCACTGATAAGTGAGAGTCCTTCAGATGCCACAGAGAAAGCTGCGCAATGACATGCATGAATTCAGGGGCCTCAGAGGACAGCCCTGATAGAAAAAATCCCCATGCATCAAGGCTGAATAATACACATTCCTCATACAGAGGGCCAAATAACATGAGTAACAGATACTGCAGATACCACCAAGTGAAGCAGTCGCAGTTGCTTAGATCAGAAGATGTGTGGTGTAACAGAAATGGCAACAGTAAACCAATTCAAGATGTACGACTGAGACAGGACTGCTGAGCTGCTGCTAACGATTCTCACTGTGCTTTCTGTCTGTGAAACGACTACCAATCACCCTGGCTAGGCTATCGAAAAAAACACAGCCACATAGACTTATTTAGCTTCACAGCATCGAGCCTGAACGTGAGGGTAAGCATAGTTTCTACAACGCTGAACAATTCGCCTACAATGAGCTCGGCTGCTGTCTGTCTGTATCCCACATACGCTGCTGGAGGGACTAGGGCCACATAAACTCGTAGTTATGTAGAAGCACTTAAAATATCCAATTTAAGTAACTTATGTTGAGATTTATTATGAAAACGAATCGAGAGAAACCAAAGTGGACAGCTAGCCACCTAGCTTGACACATAGTTACTCCAGACAGAAGACAACAAAGACAACACGTACCTGGGTCTAAGTCCTTTTTCCAAATTGTGTCACCGTCCTTTTAGTAACATGGGAGGTTAAATCCTGTGGGGAATAATGACAAGCGCTGAAAACGAGCATTTATCTGAATGTTAACCCTGACTGCAACTAGACAGGCCTACATAGAAATCGCGATCCGAGGACGTTAGTGGCTGGGATTGTGAAACTGACAACACAGTCCCGAGCTGAGCCGAGCAGCAAAATCGAAGGCAATGGGCCCTGGACGGCTACGAGCTAAGCTAACGTAAAGGCTAGTTCCACTTCACTCAGCAAATACCCGATTATACTCAGCCATTTTGACTCGCAACGGACGCCTGTCGAATCTTAAAAGGTAGCACGACCTCTCTACTGTGTTTCTGTTTGACAAGATAGAAATGTCTCACTATTAGCCCTCGACGAAGTTGCCATTCCTGCCGCTCGAAGCATCCACTCTTGTTTACCCAGCAGGTCGTCCGTTCGCTGGCTACAGATTCAACACAGCCGTTGGCCTCGTCGCCACGCGGGGGCGCCACATCGCAGCTAGCCGTCAGCCGTTTACGACACTTTGCGACAGCTCGACTTAATCCCTTTTACTTTTCAAAGCAGACCGTGTTGATAAAAATACGCAATGTCGAGTGGACACTCTCTCCTCAAACTGTTTCGTGTTGACAAACGAGCACGAGAAGCTCAGTGTCATTGTGAGAATGTACGTCTGTATACGGATTATAATATAAATCCTTGCATCATTGTTTTGCACCTTCCTTAATCCTCCATTCCAAATACCACAGCGCCCACTAGCGGATATAGGTCAGACGTGTGGAAAACCCTTCATGAAACCCCAGTACATGAACACCAAGAGTGCTTAACTGCACAAATTATTGTCATACAAATGACGTTTTAATCCAGTGTACTCATACTAATAATCAGAAGGTAATGTGATACAGAGAATGACAGGCAGATATGTCAGAAAGCTTACATTATTACATCACATGTATCTAACCCCAAAATTGCAAGAATCATGCAAGCAGGCTACATCATCTTCATCAAATATGATGACCAGTATGACTTGCTTAAAATGCTACATCCACAGACAGCAAGAGATGGAGATAGAGTTGTTTTTAATGGGCTAAGGTGTAGTCTAAACATATGAGTTTTCAATCTGTGACAACAGATATGTAGAGTGAAGTCAGGTAATATGTGTGACACTTTGTGGCAGATTACCAAGAAAACCACCTAAAACTCTGAGGACTACTCTGAGTGTTACTTTTAGAGCTTAATCAAGCTCTCTGCTATTTTTCTACCAAGGAAATATGTTGCTAAGTAAAATAATTTAGAAACGTTGGACCCTTAAACACATCAAGGACATCTACCTCACTACAATAACATGTTCTGGTAAAATGAGAGAGTTGTGTTTGTTTCAATTTTTAATGGTTGAATCAGTTTATCAGTACAGTCATTAATTCATTAAATTATTAATGCAATCTGTGGCTATTCATTAAAAAAGATTTTTCTGCCATGGTCTCACAGCATCATCTTAAATATTTTTCAGGTGACAAAAAACAAAAGAAAAATCACATAGTATCATAACTTATGATTTATGGCACAGAATAGCCTAAAAGCATGCTGGTTTCACTTTAAAAAAAACCCCATCCCATTTGAGCTTAATTTTGATTTTCCCATTTTACCTAAATGCATTAAGTACTCACTCAAAACCCTTATCCCATAAAAAGTTAAGTGTATTGTGATAATATTTTAATTATAAGTCAAACATTTAATAAAATGCAACATCATACAGCCATTTTTGTTGTTATACCCTTATGTTAGCTGCAGCTTTCTTATCACCAAAATGTGAAATTTAACATGCCACACGGCTTCTCTTGGAAATTCTGGGACCAATGGATGTTTTAATCTTTGCTCTGCCCATCCTAGTTACCTCAGACCAATAAAAATTATTGTTTCATGTAAAGAACATTTGTGCTTACAATGCAATAAAATGTTTGGTGACTGGCTGCTAATATGTAAATAGCCCAAGATGTAAAATCTTATTTGTCCCATTTTACCCTAGATAAAGAAAAGCAAATTCTGGCAGTGAGAATAATAAATAATCCTCATTATTCATAGCCTATATAACACAGCCATATTTGGTGTGACATTTATTGCTGTTGCAGCTCATATGTAAGAGTTAAATTATGGAATAAAATGGATTTGTGTCTCTGTTGAGGCTTTACTGCAATACCAGGTTATTCTGTATTGTCACCTTTAGCCCCTCATGCATGATTCAAAATAAGTGAGGCATACGCTGTATGTTGCATTATATTATCCAAAGAGTAATGACATTTTAGTATCTTAATAGCTTACATATTGGAGATATTACTGAATTCATCATTGACCTAATGTGTGCGTCAATCTTGACCAGAGAACTGTAGTGCAGATTTCACAGCTGAGATGGAGTTGAAGAAAATATTAGGAGCCTGCTTCCATCTCATCAGAAGAGAGGAAAATATACTGCTGATCTGCTTGAATTAAAATGACAGCAAGAAAGAGGACAGCTAATCTGTCTAAAAAGTGTAGGTTTAACCAAATGTACACATGTAGCTTGGAGATGGGTACAGAGTAGTCTTTTATAGAACAAAAGATTGGCAAAGTACAGGTGCAGGGCATCATAAAGCAGGATTTGCATATACTGTAGTGTGGAACAGTAGATTTACACCCAGTAAGTATCTGGGCTGGTGAGACAAGTTTAGGATTGGGTCTGGATTAAATGGAGAGCCTAAAAGTCTTTTGAGACCAACAAGAAAAGCAGCTGAATATATTCTTTGTAAAATCAACAGCTGGGTAGGCCTAAATGTCTGCAGTGACATGTGGGTGAATAAAAATGTACTTTGACCTGTACATTGTCAATACTTTGCTAAGGATTAGGCTTTATTCCACATCATAAATAACAATGACTGCATCAGTACTTTTTTTGCAATGGCAAATTTACTGTGCTCAATTCGGCTTCTTCTGCAAACTACTCAAATTAAATTAAAAACTCTGCAACTGTGTTGGATACAAGGTGCTGGATTTACCACTCTGTAATTTGGTTGAACGATTTTGTTCCTGAAATATGTTACGGGACATAAATTTCATTTACTAATCCACTGGCTCCCCCACCACAGTAGGTGGCGATGCATTATTTAGTGACGACAAATAAAGACAACGAAGAAGAAGCTGGGCAAAATTAGATCTGCGCGTGCGCTAAAATCTATAATCTTGAGGTAAAATGGCGACGGGTGCCATTTCCACGGAGTCGAAGAAAATATCCGAATTAAGAGTTGTTGATCTTAAATCCGAGCTCAAACGAAGGAATTTGGACACTTCTGGTGTAAAGAGCGTTCTTGTTGCAAGACTGAGACAGGTAACTTAAAAGGAAGCAAATACTTGCAAGGAGGGGTGACCGAGCTGGGAAATGCGTTGCGGAGTTGCTAATGCTAACGTCAGCTAGCGTTGTTACGGTTGTGTTTGCTGCTAGGTTATCTGTTAAATATCTGTGTGGTGTTTAGTGTGGTCAGTTTAACTGTCGAAATACCCGCTGGTTGTATTTAGCTTTAGTTAACTACACCCTGGGTCAGCTGCTTACCCTGTACTCATAACGCTAACGTTACACCTGTCGGAAAAAGTGAAGTGTTAGCTACTCGAGCTAGTGTGATAAGCGAGAGAACATGATTCTGTAACGTTAAATGAACGGGAGCAAAACAGACATGGAAGGCCTCTGTAGGCTCCCTATGCCCCGAAACAACAGGGCTGCTATGTCAAGTTAGTTCACAACTAAGATCAGATCTGTGTTTTGAAATTAGATTGGTTATATTTTTGGGTTAAAAATAATTATAACATTATATTGGATCTTAAATATCAAATCTCATTTTATTGAATCTAAATCGATTAGGTCAGTTTTTCAACAATTTAAGGTTACATACATGATTGACTAAAACTAGACATCTGTAGTAGGACCACAAGATTATGGCCAATATGTTCATTTAGTTTTGGGAAGACAAAAGTTAAAATGTATCCATAATTCCACATCTAAGAATGCTTGTATATGTAATATTTGTTTTCCAAAGCCATTTATATAGAGAATATTAGATTTTACACCATGCCTGTCTTTTTGATTTGAACCCACTTGAAACCTCAAAGTATTCCACGTTCCCGTTATGATATATAATCATGTTTTGCTGCGGCTGCCTCATGAGAAGGCAGAAACAATACAGTTTTGAGCCAGAAACAATAAAAAATATTTCTGCTAATGTACTCTGGGTAGAGTAAAAAAAAAAGGCAAAATAAGAGCCTTCGTCTATAGTCAGTAAACCAGGACTATGCAGCCTTAATCACTGACAGTTTGGACCTGAATACTGTCCCACGAAGCATAAAACAACACACTTGGTCATCACTTCTCAAAAGTGATGTGATGAAACAACAAACAAGGCAAACATGGCCTAGGTTCACACTAATTGGATTTATTTTTTAATCTTTTATCATAACTACGACACAGGGTATTCTGTTTTAACAGGTGCATGCGTTTTTATTTAACTAGACAATAGGGATGCACCGAAATGAAAATTTGTGTCCGAAGCTGAATAAAATTAAACGCCTGGCCGAATACCGAGTACCGAATGCCATTTTTTAGTTTTTCATTAGTTTTTGCAGATGAACCCCCTCCAGATTAGTGTTGTCATGGTACCAAAGTATCACGGTTCTGAGTAGTATCGCGATACCACAGCGAAAATGAGGCAGATGTGCCTTTTGTCATTATAAAAAGATAAATCACTTTTCTATAATGCATCAATGATATTTCAATGGAATAAATTACTTATTGACTTATTCATGCTTCAAAAACAGCATCAATAAGTGATTGACATAGGGGGGATCAAAATAAAATAAATAAATAAATAAAATAAAATAAAAATCAACCAGCCACCCTCCTCCCCTGACAAGTTAAGAACAGTCCCTTCATAAGTTAAGAACAGTCCCTTAAGTACGGTGAGGTTTGTGGAGCGTTACCTGCCACAAAGAGAGAAATGTGAACAGCTCGTTTCTCCTCTGACACGTCACATACCAGTGTGCCGCCATGGCTCGGCTGTCCAGGTACTTTTGGGCAGTCATGACACCAAGAAGAGGAAATTATTGGACCTCCGTCGCCGGTAAGCCCTTACCTTGTGCCGCGGAGCACTATGGCCGCCGTATTTGACAGGAATACATTCTTGTCTGTGTCTGTGTCACCACTTTCGAAATATCGCCACACTGCCAACATTTTACTCCGTCCATGACTGCACGCTGTTTGATTGCGTTATCAAAACACGCCGCTATTATTCAGCCTTGCTTTTCACTTATTCCACCGAATACCGAATGTGTGGTTTTTTTGCAATATTCGGCCGAATATATTCAGTTACCAAATATTCGGTGCATCCCTACTAGACAACTGGCGATGGATGAAACTGGAACAATAAGGATATACTAT